AAGATAGAAAGAAAGGGTGCCAGATCAAAAAATGCGAATTGTTTTTTATTTCACCAAAAAAACCCTTTGGTAAACTACTTTCAAAAACAATATTCAAACGTTCCAGCGAAGCTCAGTTTTTTGCGAAAAATAGGAAAGTTTAAAATCGGCCTCAACCTGGTCGAAGGCCCGATGGAAATTATGCAAATTAGAGCATATTCAAAACGCTCGTACGAAAAAACGGAAGCTAATTTATAGTTCATCTTTACGAGTTTTGTTGCACAATTCTCAAAGTTTCTTTCAAGCTATATTTTATCTTGATCTAGGCTTTCTTTCTAGTTCTTACACCCGTGCAAAGGAAGTAATGTTTCGTGCTTTGATGACACCGTGAATTTTATATATATATTTAGCGGCTGTGAAAGGGTTTGTTTGAAAGAACTATTCTTCCTGTTTGTCATACTAAAAGCTTTTTTTTGGCCCGCCAAAAGCGAGCGCTAGACGAAAATGTGTACGTTCTCCATTTTACCTCCTTTTGCTCGCTGTTGTCTTGCTGGGTTAATTCACAATTTTTCACCCAGAAAAACTTAGTGTTTGGTTTCCATTGCAACATTTCATTCGAATTTAGACTGCAGCAGCCTTCGACAAGAAAATAAGTTTGAATACACTTACGGAGACAAACATTGGAAAGTTGATTTACTTGTATTCTCTGTAATCAGCAATTGTAAACAAAGACTGGCCCGAATACTGCGGTGACCTAAGATATAAGAGCATCCCATTGCTCAATGTCCTCGAATTTTCAGTAAAGGCCACTTACCTGTTTGCATTAATCCGGCATAAGTGAAAAAATTTCTTTGTGCAAAGAACATGCATCTGACCTGAAATATTACTAGTGACTGGAACGTGAAGAACACGTTTCGTGACAAAGGAAATATGAGACGTGGGAAATTCCACGGTTTGTCGGGCGGACCATTTTTGAGGCGGGCGGGAGGGGGGAGGGGATGATGGGGTGAGGGACTGGTTGATTTTGAAAAAAATGTATACATGTACACTGTATATCCTGGAAGTGCATATAGGTAAGAAAAGAATCTTGCATAAGTACACAGTCCAAAAAAAAAAATCAAGCACGTTCAGTGAGCTGAAAAAACCGTACTCGAGATGCTCCCTGGGTTGACAGTCTTGACAGCATAAACTTTATTTTCCAACTGTTATGATAAAAAGATTTTGTATTTGTACTTGCGTTCCGGGAAAGAAGGATTCACAGCATAAGGATCTTTTCCTCCCAAATGGCTTTTTCTTTAAATCTACAACACCTGTGGTAACCAATCTTGGTCAGGGACCGCGAAGCCTTGGGGCTGAGTACGTCGAGTGGTTTATAGCCCCACCAATAATGCCATCGTTTTTTGTTTTGTTTTGCATATTTTATGATAGTCTTCTAATCTTTATGTTAAAAGCACCCTTCATTTCCTTTGTTACATGTACGTTTTTTGCAGAAAACTATAGCGGATTGATGATAAAAAATAGACAAAATTAGTCTCAGAATTGGTAGAAATTAAGGCGGTGATTCTAACTTTCACCGTTTTCCGTGGAAGCATGCCTCCGGATGTCTCGAGATAAAATCTCGCTTATAGTCGCCTTCGTATTATTAGATTTATAAAGGAAAGCCTACTTTTTCAACCCGATCCACAAGAATCTTGCAAAGTGTTGGAGGGACAAAAAAAATATCATTCGAACACATACTCCAATATAATGAAAGAACATCTGACAAATATCCGTATGTCTTTTTTCTGTTCAATTTACCTGTGTATTTCCAGGTTTTACGGGGTGTTCCGGTGTGCTCCGGGTTCGGAACATACCGATCACAACCTAGTATCACTGCAGTCTATTATAGATGCCTTCTGGCGCGGGGACTCATGCTCCGGAGAGTTTTCAGTTTTTGTTACATAGGGGGTGGTAAAAGGGGGGTTTGCGAGTTCCCCTTCAATCTAGGAGTCTGGGGGCGTGCATCTCAGATAATTTGCAACATCTGGATCTCAGAAATGCAATTTCTAACTTTCTGGATTTAAAATAAAGTTGTGTTCATGACAATTTTATTTGTAATAAAGCGGTTACTCTTCTCAGTAGGAATAGCAGTTAAAGATCAAGGGCAGTCGTCTGTGTTCAGTTTCGTCTTTATCAAATTTTGAAGTGCCTAGATTAAGATAACATATAGCTTGAAAGAATCCTTGAGAATTCTGCAACAAACCCTATAAAGGTGAACTACAGATTAGCTTCCATTTTTTCGTACAAGCGTTTTGAAAATGCCCTAATTTGCATAATTTCCATCGGGCCTTCGACCGAGTTGAGGCCGATTTTAAACTTTCCTATATTTCGCAAAAACGGAGCTTCGCTGGAATTTTTGAATGTTGCTTTTGAAATCGTTTGCCAAAAGGGTTTTTTTTTTGGTGAAATAAAAAAAAATTCGCATTTTTTGATGTGGCGCCGGATTCTCCATATTTACAGACAACGGCTCTTGTCTTGTCTTGTCTTGTCTAAGTGATTGATTTGCTTTATAAGTAGTTTTCCACGCCAGATAAAATTAGATGAAATCGTTATCCTTCTTGTCCATTATGGATCCATATTGGGGTATAGCTACACCCTCAAATCTAATCATCGGTCCATTTCGCCTCATGCCTCATTAAGGGAGGTACATGCGTGCGTGGTCTGTTGGGTTTTGCCGATTGCTTTATAAGCAACTTATATTTTAAATGTAGCGCCTTTTTTTACCTCCGCGTGTCTTGAAAAACGAGTTATATTACACTTGTAGCGTTTTTTTTTTCGCGTCATGACTGTTAGAACGCAATATATTTCATGTGTGGCGCGCTTGTTTTGAGTTATGGCTTAAAGAACGACGTATATTACATTTGTAGCGTGCTTGTTTTGCGTCGTGGCTTAAAGAACGACGTATATTTCATGTGTTGCGTGCTTGTTTCGGGTCACCGCTTAAAGATCAACGTATATTACATGTGCAGCGCTCTTGTTTCGCCTCATGGCTTAAAATTATTTTCTTTATTTCTCGCGAACTGACTTCAGGTGATTCCGATCGACTCTTGCCGGGACGAACTGTCTCCATCGGATCCGATCGAGTCTGTTTGCCAACATCTTCGACCCGGCCCTCCCTCCTGTTAGCCTCTTACTTCCGGTACCACTGATCAAGCGCCTTGCGCCCATTTCCGGTTCCTATCGCGATCTGATTTGATCGGCCGGTGGGTGAAGTCAATCCCGAACTCACGTCAAATTGTGGATGAAAGTTTTGTTTTTATTATTGTCATAGTAATATCGATTTTACTTAAAACTACGTTTTCACAAATTTCAATCCATAGCCAATTAATGGTGAAAATTGTATAGCGATCGGACAAGGAAAAAACCACTTTTAAGGCGATTGAAAAATATCGGTATGGCCTCTGAAAAACTGTATCGAAACACCTTAAAGTAGTCCAAGTCAGAAAAAAAATACAGCACTGGAAGTACTAGTTTTACATAATAATAAAGAGCTACAAAATTTTACTTCTGGTAACCCAAAAATGTGTAGGAGGAATGCCTAACTGCAAACTGAAGTCACCTTACTCTGCACCCTATCAAACTAGGAGAGTAAAAAAAAGGCAAAATGGTGAATGGGAATTAAAAACCATATGTACAACCCACTTGGGGTTTCTTGGTTACAAACCCAGCAAGTTAGCCTGCGAGCAAGCTCTTCGAGGCGATCTGGCGGTGGGGTGGGAAAAGGAAGGAGAGCTTGCAAAATTCCTCTTCCAATTCAAGAAGTCCAAAGACTACTGCAAGGCTGATTTAAAACAACGTATATTGTTTTTTATAACAATATTTCGGCTGGCCATACCAGCCTTCTTCAGGTTTACAGATGTTACTGAAATGTTAGTTGTGTCTACCGCACGTCTGTGTACGTCTGTGTATTTACAATATATAGGTGAAACTAAGCGACGTCTCAAGGACAGATTTAACGAACACAGACGTGCAGTCGACAAAACTAACATTAAATCTAAACCCACTACTGTTTCTGAACACTTTCTCTCTCACTCTAACCATTCTCATACTGACATGCAGTTAATCCCACTAGAGAAAATTCATTCTTCACCTGACTTAGTTCGTAAGGCCAGGGAGTCACATTTGATAGATAAGGCCATGACTCTTGAACCTAATGGCCTAAACCGCCGTGACGAATTATTGTAATACATATCTTTAGTATTTTTCCTTTCCAGTTTTTATGTTGTACGTCATTTCCGCCTCTCCCTTTTATTGCGACATTCTCCATTTATAAAATATTGTGATTGCTACATAAGTTCAGTAACATCTGTAAACCTGAAGAAGGCTGGTATGGCCAGCCGAAATATTGTTATAAAAAGCAATATACGTTGTTTTAAATCAGCTTTGCAGTAGTCTTTGGACTTCTTGTTCTTGGTTCTTTATATTTTGGCTGATTTGATCTCTTTTTTAGAGATCCAACGTTTACAACTAGCAGGATCTTCGTCCACGGTTTTTGCAGCTAAATTTACTTCTCCAATTCCCCTGTTGCTCCCCGTCGACTCAGATTTCCGCCGATCAACGCGAAGCGGAAACGATCGCGAATGTAAACAAACATTGAAAAACACGAGAAAGCACGCGCCAAGGGTAATGACGCCATTACTTATGTCAGCCAATCAGCATTTCACATCGACGTTTTTGATGCAGACTTTCAAATTCCAGCACAGACGTAGTTGCAAGCTCTCCTTCCTTTTCCCGTCCCGCCGCCAGAGCGCAGCGCCCCAGAGAGCTTGCTCGCAGGCTACCAGCAAGTCAATGAAGGTTAACTGGCCTTGACATAAACTATTTTCACTGCGCGTCTTTAAGGGTTAGAATCTGAGTCATTAAGTAGGAAAAATACCTAAACGTGAGATATTCTAAAAATAACCTACATGCAGGAAATACTTCTTGTAATTTAATATCACTCCACAGTTTTCCTGGAAGCCAAAGCCCTCGTCCCAAGTAGGCTTGAACTCAGAGAATATCAGAAGGAACTAGCAGAACCAGCAATCCAAGGCAAAAATACCATCATCTGCGCACCCACCAAGAGTGGAAAAACGTTTGTGGCGATAGAAATAGCAAAGAAGCATCTCGAAAGGTTGAACAGCGATTACGAGCAGTTAGGTACGCTAAAAAGTAGTAGTAGTTAAGAATTTGTTAGAAAAGACCTTTTGAAGCACGAAATCGGGAAAGGACACAAATGGATCCACGCGGCTTTGCTGTCAATTGACTTTGAAAAATCTGGAGGGTGCGAATCGCGAATAGTTTCAGAGCAAAAAGTATCGACTTTTTTTTGTACACAAGTATGCGTACTCGTAAAACGCGGTAATCCAGCTCTGGAGTTTTCTCTCCAGCTTTTCTTTTTAATTGAATGATAATAACAAAACAGAAAAGACAAAAGAGAAGACTTTCAGGGGTATTAACGGAGAAATAGAAAGCCCTCTTTGTACTTTGAGCAATAATTGTTCAATTGACTCAGTTGAATTTACTTTAATATAATTTAAATTTTCTGGCCCCAGTTGTTCAAACGTTGGATAACGCTATCCACCGGATAAATCACTATCCAATGGATAAGTATTCGGGAAACTAATTGCGCTATCTGTTGGATAGTGATTTATCCGATGGATAGTGCTATCCACCTTTTTGAACAACTGGGGCCTGGTTAGTTTTGTGTTTATTGTATATCTTCGGAGAGACGTTGACCTTCCAGCTTAAGTCAGGGGGTGAATTGTCCTGGTTAACACAGACGTGCTTTGCCTGTTTTCACATATTCCAATATTTCCCGATTATAAGCTATTTCATAACCTTTACGCTTTTTTATAAAGATTAATTTGTTGGTGTCAATAAGGTTTTCTTTTTCTGCATGCACTGGCGGGGATAATAGAATTTGCTCTTTATTTAGTCACCTTTTTGTGCAATAATCGAGAAACCAAAGGAAATCTCTTCTTTGAAGGTAGTTTGGATATTTGACACACTCTGTTGTAAAGTTTAATTAATAATTAAATTTACCTTTGAATATCTTCAAAAATTATTGCTCGTTTTTAAAGCTACATCAAACACTCCACTCATTCTTTCCTGTCATATCCAGTCATCCCAAGGTCGTCCTAAAGAAACGGGGCTGCGCTTCGTTTTTAACCCAATTTATGGTTATCAGATGATACAGTACGACTTCGGTGTGATGATTTTTTTCAAATCTTATTTTAAATAGCATCCAGAAACACCAATATAAAGAAAGGTCGAGTGGTATTTATTGGTCGTACAGTGAATCATGTCCTACAGCAAAAGGAAAGATTTGAGTATTTCTTGAGTTACAAGTATCCTGTAGGCGAAATCTCCGGAGCTAGTTCAACAGACTTTCCGCTCAAGTACCTCTTACAAAGCTACAATGTTGTGGTGACGACGGCCCAGGTTCTTGTCAACGCACTGAACAGTAAATACAAAGAGGAACGAGTTGAGCTGAAAGACATCAGTCTGTTGTTATTTGATGAATGCCATCACGCTCATAAGGAGCATCCTTACAACAAAATCATGGAAAGGTACCTCGCCTTAAAGTCTCAGCCAGGATACCAGCACTGCTTACCACAGGTATCACACAATGCGTGTCCACTTAAAGTTAAAGCTCTCATAAGCGACTACCTCTTGAATTCATAACTAACGTAACTAGAGCTGGTCGTTTACGAGAATGTGCTCCCTTGAGCGAGCGTGTGATGAACCTGTTGAGAGTCGCAGCTTACGAGAGCTTTTAGTAGAAAGGCTGTTGTTAATTACCAACACATCCAGGTTAAAATAGTATAGTTCTTAAAACTATGAAAGGTTTTAATAACATGTAGTGACGTGATACAACTCACTTTGACTCTGACGATGACTACCGCACCGCTAGTCGAAACGTCAGTCACTGTCAACAACAACAGTCCCATTCAGGACTACGTTCACCAAAACGACCATACTCAACCTACTTATTAAATAGCTCTTGTTTATTACTTATCACGATCGAAGTTACCGATCCATGCCTTGGTGCTTACGTTGTGTATTACCCAAAATTTGGTCAATAAGTAAAAATAGTTTTATTCAAGTGTATGATTTTCATGCATCATTTTTACCTCTTGCTGTTCGTGTGTAGATCGTCGGGCTGACTGCTTCGTTTGGTACGGGTAAAGCACCGAGTAGGGACAGAGTGGAAGAACATATAATTCTCGTATCTGCAAATTTAGATGCTGAAACCATTTCTACTGTGAGGAAAAACCAGACCGAGCTTAAGAAGTACGCAAACATTCCTGAACGAGCGACTCATCACGTGGAAAAGAAAAAGCAAGATCCATTTGAGAAAATCATCTATAAGGTAGCGTTGGCAATTAATTCTTGTCAAGACTGAGAATATTATATTAGTCTTGCTTTAACAGTTACGAGCCATCTGGTTTCTCTTACTCGTGACTTGGAAGGTTGGATACTTTATTTTTACCTTGCATGAAGGTAAATTCGTTAAGCACACTATTCAAATTGAATCTTAGTGCTGTTTAATTCAAAACACCAGTTCTCGGACAAGGTTTCCCAAGTCATGGTTCAATTGACCCTGCCTTATCTAAAAAGTCATCTAACCATCTATTTTTTCACCCTTATATTTGCGATCAAAAGAGTTAGTCACATTGATCAAACGAGCGAGCAGAAAATTAGTTTGGTCTGGAATTTGAGCAAGGTACAAATGACAATTATCAACTCGCACCGTAACTTTGCTGTTGTCTATTATACCCTTTTTAATTACCAAAGGGTGGCCAGTTTGTTTTAGTTTACTTTATCTTTCTTTTTTTAAGGTTATGACAGCAATAGAGGCCAGGATCAAGAAATTGAAAGGCAAGTCCTTTAAGGCAGTGCCCTCAGACAAAGGAGGTCAACAGTATCGTCAGTGGGTTGAAGAATTCTACAAAGATGCGGTGGCGGTTGGTGACAGGTACCTGGTGACCTACGCAGAACATCTCCGTGAATATCACATCTCGTTAACTTTGAATTCAAACACAAGAATAAAGAATGGTCAGAGATATCTCCAGACATACTTCGCTTCGTTGGATAGAGAAAAGTTCACGTCAATCGATGAAAATCTGGAAAAGCTCTTCCAGAAGGCTATGGAAGCGTTAGACAAATTCATCGAAAGGAATGGCGAGCCTGAAAATCCGAAGCTAGCGAAACTTAAAGAATTGCTGTTGGACAACTACAAAGAGCTTCAGCTAAGCGACAATGGCAAGCAAATCAAGGCGAGGAAAAACAGAAATGGAAGTGAAACCATTGAAGACTGGGCAGATGATAATGGTCCAAAGAAGGTAGGCAACAAGCAAGATGCAATGAATGGAGACGTGGAAGCTTTCAAACTGGCTGATGATAACAACACTGGAGCAACTAAAAGCAAAGGTGAAAAGGCAGGGAATAAGTCCTGTCAAGAAGAAAATGCCGTAAAAGATGATGACAAGACAGCAAATATCAGCTTGAAGACAAAGCAATTCGGTTCTGACACTACTGAGAATTCCTTCCATGTCATATCCAATCAAAATAACAAGCCCGAGGAAAGTGACAGTGGAATTTTGTGTGTACACGAAGCTGATACTGCTGAGGGTTCCCCGTCAGACGTCACGGCGGTGCAGTCAGATTTACCGGACGTAAGTGACAGTGAAGAAAAGGATGACCGTAAAGACGTCATTACCGAGGGTTCCTCGTTTGACAAGGCGAACAAAGAAGATAAGCCTGAGCAAACGGAAGCCGGCCGTCATCCAGAGTGGGACGGTCCAAAAGGAATTTTGTTCACTAGCACTCGTGAGGCAACAGAAGCACTCCTGGACTGGATAAAAGAGACTAAAGAACTTAACGCAGTGCTCAGACCAGCGCTACTAGTCGGCAGTGGAGATGGAACGAGTAAGTTCGTGTCGTACTTACTTTTACTTATACAACTGGTGCCACGTCGGTTTAAAGTGAGGGTAACACATGAATTTTTAGTTTTAATTGGCTTCTGTAAAGGCAAGCGTAGCAGCAATCGTTTGGAGCCGAAGCTTTTTAACGTTATTAGCGTAGCAGCTTGTACTGAAATATTTTGAGAAGCAGAATTAGCGCTGAAAATACACTAGTTTTCACGTGGAATTCTTTATAGTGTTCAGTCTTAGGAGATGAACCAGATGATACGTTGCTGATCACTACACTGATCACTGTATTTATGTTCTTTAATTTCAGTCGGCATGACAAAATGTGAGCAGGAACGAGTTGTTAAAAGGTTTAAAACTGGAGAAAAGAACCTTTTACTTGCGACTAGCGTAGCGGATGAAGGCGTGGACATCAGTGATTGTAACTATGTCATTCGCTACGACATGATAGGCGACGAGATCTCCTCAGTACAAGCACGTGGCCGTGTCAGGTAAGCGAATACCTTTCGTAAAATAAGCCTGCTATGTTCACGATGGTACATCTGTTTTCGGCATGTGTGTGTGTGTTGAGGTTTTTTATTTTTTTTTATCCACTAGGGCGGAATATGGAAAGTACAGCGTGTTGGTAGGTCATTCAGGAACCCGGAAGAGAGATAGAATAAGTGAATTTAGGGAAATTCTCATGACTGAAGCTCTTAATAAAATACAAATTATGGATCCGGAAACGTTTAAGAAAAAGGTGAGACCCGCACAGATAAGGTTGTTGGTATAGTCGGCAAAATATCCTTACGGCTCAGATGGGATCATTGGTGGTAGCACAGTATCATGCACTTTCAAAACGTTCAGTGTTTTAGATTAAGTCAAGACTGAATATTTAAGCAATAGAAAACGTTTTCCGTGTTTGCTTAGCCTGATATAAACACGAGAGGGGTTGGGAGAATTCGAGACAGTTATGCAAACCCGAGACGAGGTCGAGGTTTTGCATAACAGTCAGTCTGTCTTAGGTCCTTTTAGGATTCTGCATTTGGTTGACAGACCCCGAACACATGAGCATGGATATCCAATATCGCATCTTGTGCTTTATTAGATCCTTCACTTAAGGTGGCTTACTTAAGTTTTCACTTGAAAACTATCGACTTTTTCAAACTGGAAGATTTTTAGCAACTGAGGGACCCTACTGAACCGTTAATCACTGCAATTGATGTAAATTATCATTTTACCCTCTAAAAACATTTTGTGGCGTAGTATATTGCGAAATGTAGTGACCGAGCACCCAAACAGGGGACTGGAAACTAGACCTTTGAAGGCTTTTTTCTCAAAAACTAACCGTTCGACCCCATCTGACAATTTCAGGATTTATTTAGTACTTAAAAATAATTGTATTTAGAGAGAGAGAGAGAAATCCTATATACAGAATTTTTGCAAAAGCCAAAAATGTGGAATTTTGTCCCTTTTTATATTGACTAAAAAACTGTCTGTAGGATTTGTTTGAAAAAATGTTTATGGTTTCGTCTTTATGTTCTCTATTTAATCCTTAAAATCTGAATCCAGGTCATACGGCTAGGTTTGAGAAATTTAGCGTGGAAATGGTCTTTTTACGACCTCCCTGGACGAAAGCATTGCGCATGCGTCACCGTTCGGGGAAAACCCTGGTCACGAGGTCGCGCGCTTTCTGTTTTCCCGCCCTGGGACTGCCTTTGATTCACAGCGTTCTGCTGGCCGCCATTTCCAGGTTGTCAAGCCAAAAATGTGTTTTAGACCATGCGATTCTTGCACGGTCTGTTACAGCGTGATTTACTGACCACAACCGAACATTCAGTACTAAAAAGGGAATAATTTTATGCTGACATTTAATGGCGTTTTTTAAACCTCTCTTCATTCTGGATTTGTGGATGATAACACTGCTTCCCTTGTGAAACCGATCCGCATTTTGTCTTCTTCCCATGGAACGGATATTAGCATGAAAGACAACTATTGTTTTTACGTTTAAAGTCAACTGGAGCTTTGTGTCGCCGTATTGCTCCGTCAGTGACGACTTTGTTGTTCATAAGGACTTTGCTTTGGAACATGAAAGAAAGTTTATTTGTTAACAAAGTGGCTACATAGTTTCTCCAAGTATTAACGCGTGCAAACTGCATCGCGACAAACCCTCCTTCAGAGAAAGTCTTCTCGACAATTTTTTGTTGATAAAGTCATTGCTCGTTCTCGCCGGTCAGAAGTCTCTCATGGGAGCTATAAAGGTATTGACGTACGTCTGTTTTCGTGTCTGCTTGGCGGGCAAAATTAATCGTTTTGTTTATTACGTACCTTGTCAGTGGCAGTGCTGACAGTGCTGCTTTATTCTTATTACAACCACGGCATCACAGAAACCTTTATTTTCATATTCATAGAATTTTTAGATTTCACACATTTACAATTTATTGATGACAACTTGCCAAACGGATTGAAAAACCGAACCCCTTTTTAGTCTGGTGGCACGTGGTCCTTTGTTTCTTTGGCTCGAAGTCGAATCATTTTCTGTAAGCTTAAGTTTTTTTCTTGTCTGTTTCAAGCCCTTATTTTAAGTTAGCGTTTTCATTGCAGAAGCGATTGTTGTATTTTACAAATCATTAACTAGAACAGATGCTGCAGGTACAAAACCTATTATTATCCACTCGTTCATAAGGCGTTTTTCAGTTGTCGAAAATAACATAGGTGCTAGTGCGAAAATTTATCTCTTTGTCATATTCTCGAGCCGAAAACCTACGAAAACCCAGCAGTAATAAAAAAAAATTTTTACTCACACTTTCTGAACCTAAACTGATCTAAGAAGTTTGCTACAAAATTACTTTTTTTAGAAACCCTAGAATAATAGGGAATTTTATTCGGAAGGTGTTCATGTTGCTTGATCTCGGGGTTTTCCTTTTCTCGCTCGCGCGAGTGTTGTATGCGTGAGAGATCTTGTGTGGCTTGCTTAGCGCATGCGTCGCGCCCGCTGTTATTGAAAAAAAACTGTAGTAAGCCATCGTAACTGTTCTCCAAAATGGGAGGTGATCGCATCTGAGCCGTAAGGAATGTATTTGAGCATTCATTGCCAATGATTTATGCGATAGTTGTTAGTTTTATATGCTGCTTAATTTTTATAATCATCGTCATCATCATCAAAATCATCATCATCAACGCCAACATCATCCTATCTTCAGTGCGTGGGTAGAAGTTGTCGACTAGGTTACTCTATTCCATAATTTAAGTGTTCCACACAGTCTTTGCTCTGTTCAGCTCACAAGCTTTTTAAAATATTATGGTATATTCTTTCCGTATATTTCGATCACAATTATGTACCCTCGGTTTCCCGGGCCTTATAATTACATACTCACCAATAAAATTAACGCTAAAGAGAGTCCGATTCATGAATAACCGTGAGGTGTCATTGACAAACATAAGGGATCCTACCAGCGCACTTAACATTTAATTTTTGGTAGTCTACGTATATTTTATTCTTTTTAGGTAATAGATATGCAACAAAAGAGTTATCGAGACCGCTACCTGAAGAAGCACATTTATACTCTCAGTAAGTGCAAGCAATTCCCTGATGACGTCAGCTTTCTATGCAGGAAGTGCAAAGAATTTGTTTGCCAAACGCATGATGTCCGCTGCATCCAAGGCAGTCACCACGTGATCATTAACAATGACGTCCGGAATACAAAGGTACTTGTATCAAACGTACAATCAGTTGACAATTTCAGGAAAGTGGTGTATTCTAGTACTTTCATTTATCCGGTTAAGTGGGAAGGCGTTATTTGGTGCTTAAAAATGAAAGCTGAAAATTCACTGATCAATTGAAAGACTTTTGAGTACGTTTTGAAGTATTTTTCCCTACAGAAAGAAAAGTGTCTTATCTTTCTTTTGAGTCACAGTTTATTTGCATAATTTCACTTTTTCGATCGCCGTGCGTGGCTCATCCTCGGAGACCCATGGGCGGTCAGTTGGGTCAATATAAACGGCGGCGAAAGTTTTTAAAGGAGGGGTTGGGGAGCCCCTGGGATGCTACTCTTATCGAACTAGTTGCAAGACTTATTCGAATGCTTGTCTCCAGTCAGAGGCCAGCTTCTATAGCGCTGCTTTTGTGATCTTCTTACACGAAGTAGTTTATACTGTTCCCCTGTACCTATCTGGTTCCTGCAGGAAAGCTGAGAAGAGTTTCTATTTTTATCAGTGAGTTTACTCTACCAGTTTCATTCGATCCTCTTGTATCATTGAGGAGAAAAATTTGACAAAGTTGCATTAAAAGGGCGAAAAAATTTCTCCCGCAGGTGCCTAAAAGGAATGCCGAGCAGGCGTAAACAGCCACGCAGACCATTTTGCATGAACAAGCCTAGAAGTACTCCGGTGTTTATGAATTTACCTCTCGATCAGTCTGATTTCTTTAATTGGTGCATTTTTCGTTTCGTTTTGTTTTGCTGACATGCTAGATTATGGGGTACGATTTCGGTATAACCCCCATTCATTGATTATGCATGCATGTTTCCACTCTATTCATTTACTCAGCTATTTATGTGAAATAGTATGAAATTGCAGCATGCGTCATAAATGTATAACTTAATACGGAAAATTTACCAGTTATAGAATTTCTTTAGTTTTTTGGGCCCCATTTTCGCTGAAAAATTTTCTCGAAGAAAGCTCTCCTGCACGAGCCAAACATGTCCGGCGAACGGTCGAGGTTGCGGGTAAGCTGCTTCTTCTTATTTTTTGTGCCCAATAAGAGACAAGCATACACACACAAAAGTAAAAAGCAAAACAAACAAAGAATTGTAAAATTTATAAATCCACTTGCTTCTTTCATTTCAAAGGTGGACATCAAAAATCATCCCAGTCCAAAGAAAATTGATGACATAGAAATGAACAAGAAAATCTTTTGCAAGAATTGTGGTGAGGATTGGGGCGTTACAGCTCTTATCAGCGGGGTGGAGTGGATGTGT